ACGTAGTTCCTCCCTATTGTTTATTTGGGGTGTTAGCCGTTTTATTTCCAAGGCCTCCAATATTTTCCTTTCCATTGCGCTCTCTACCGAGCGGTGTAGTACTTTGACCATTAAAGAGGGGGTTCCTGGTGAGCGTGCTCCATTATGCGATGCCGGGAGAAACTGCTATTAGGGTAAGAAGGTGGATTTCCCAGCGCCCTCCGGTGTTCGTCGATCCGTTTGTATAGGGGCCTCCCAGTTTCTCCCACATATTTTTGCCCGCATCCTTGACATTCTACCAGATAAACTGTCCCCCTGAGTTGACAGATTTTAGAATCCTGCAGTAACTACAACCTGCCCTTCCACATTTATCTTCATAAGGCCTGGAAAATGTAAGGAGGCGTTTTAAATTTGGTGGAGGACGAAATATTAGGCGTATAGGAAGTGGTGAGCACTTTACAATATTATTTATTTTTAATGCCGTGCTTTCATTGAGAGTAAGGTCATGAGATCAAGGTAATTCGCGTCCGCCGTGGGAATAAGCGGATTACCATTTATGGGTTGCGGCGAGGTGCCTTGATACCCATTCTTCCTTATAATCTTTATCCACGCATCTCGAGTCTACTTCTGATGCACGCCTTTTCAGGAGTGGGCGAGGTTCTGCAAAAGCGTGGGCGAGAGCTGAATCGCTCGTAGTGGGCGAGGTCTGGAGCTAGACATGAGTCATGTCTCGTCCCTTTAGCTATGCACACTATTTGAGAATATACCGTTCAGAACATATACGACGTTGGCTTTCATGTACAGGGGGTGACCACTTCTAGCATGCAGCAACACGTTCTTCGAAGCTGGCTTTCTATACCAGGATAACTCCGTGGTACCATTTCTGATCCGAACCTTGGTGTTCAAGAATGGGACAAATCCTTCATTGTTGGGGTTCTCCACAGTAAACCTTATGTTAGGGTCCTGCGAATTCAAATTGAGAAGTGTCCCGTCCAATTCCGCTGAAGATGAGCCAATTATGAACACGTCGCGATATATCGTTTATAGCACAGATTACTAGGCACAGCTGTCCAACCACTGTGAATTCGTCTGCCACCGCGGGCCGTAATGATTGTGTTGCCCTACCCCCCGAACAGGCGCAAGTCGCGCATGTGCCTATAACACGAGTATGGCCAGCATAGTGGTTGCGTCAGTTCGTGATTCTACGAATGCGCTATAACGCTGTTCGTAATATATAGCTGAGAGCCATAGAAAGAGACATTCAGTCTGCCTCGCGGGATTGAAAATGTTCAATGTAAGAGAATGAGTGGTCTAAAGCTTGTTCGAGCAAACGTCTGCTCTCGAGTATTATATGACCACGCTGCTCGCAGGTCATTTCGTGAAGAAGAGTCAGAAAAGTGAGAGCACTCGAGCTGACAAAACAAACCCGTCTGTTAAGCTAAGTGTTTTGCATGCGAAAACACAGGATGCATGCAAAAGTGAGTCCGTCACCCGCCACCCTTAAAGGTTATGGAGCGACAGATTTTAATTGCAACTATAAGGCTATTTCAAATGACACTGCCACCTTTGAGCAGACCAAAAATACAAAACATCCCTTTGCTTCCGGCAGCGGTGCCGGAAAGCAAAAAGTAACGCTGGAAATGCCCTTTTTCATGTGGGGCCCACAGTTGTGGATGTAGTAGGCGGAAAATGACCCTGAGGGATTTACTCAGACAAGCGGCCTGCCTGAAGTAACAGGTGCTTGAGCAATTATTCAGTGCTCAATCACTCGAGAAGATTAGTCATAAATGGTCCAGTACGAGATTTTTAGCTGTAGGATCTCTTACTGAAAGACGTGGTCGAATTTTGGGGAAAAATGCAACAACGATGTGTGATAGCAGGGTCCAACCACTGATCAATTGGGTCGCCAAGGTTAAGGCATGAGGTCTGAAAACTACTGCGCTGCCAGCGAACATCTCCTGAAAGTGTGATTAGAGAAAGAGGTCCAGACCGTATCCTAGCACCTAATGAAGCAAGCATGGAACATATAATTTTGAATATAGCGTACATACAGAAAGGCGATCATATTTCGCGACGAGTGCTTCTTTAAATGGGGCAGATGCTATCCTACGCGCGAATGGCACGGGACACTTCTCAAATTTATGAATTCGCAGGACCCTAACAACATAAGGTTTACTGTGGCAGAGACCCTCATACAATTATAGGAGGTGTTGTTCGTGCAGCCCATTTCTTAACACCAAGGTTCGGATTCAGACCAATGGAGTCACCTAGCGGGAGTTATTCCAGCTTATACGAAACCCGCCAAGCGTGAATCGACAAGAAACGTTGTAAGCTTGCATGCAATTGCTAAGACAACAGAGAAGCCTCCGAGCAAGTTTCGGCCCTGTACATGAAAGGCCAATCGTTGTCCGGAATATCGCGTGACATTGCACTAAGGGCGTACAAAATATTGCCAGCGCACAGCAGAACCTATTGAGAGAGTGCCTAAGACTCAGATGGTGGATAAAGCGAAGTTATAGAGCAGAGCAGAATGGGTATATGCACCAGTGACAAACTGTTCGTCCCCCGCCCAGCCCATCAAATCCGCATACTGGATCCGCATCCGCGATGACGCGGACCGATTCCCTGTTATCCCTTACCTCCAATGAAAGCACGCAATTCTTAAAAATAGCCAAATAATCTGAATATAAGATCATAACAAGATAAAAGTCCAAGATCTCAACCCCACTCATAAATCACTATATCGCCCTAAGTGACCTTTTGTCTGATAAATTACGGTACGCGTCTGATACACTCGAGAACATTTAAACATCTGCCTCTCTTCACATTTTCCTAAATTTCCAAAAAGGCCCCCGTCTTATGACACTTCTTCTCATGTATTACTAAAATTTCAGGTGAAGGGTACAGGGCCATTGAAGTGATCAATATTCATCATTACGTGCAGGGATTCTTCAAGTTACCTTCAATAATCTATGTTCTCATCACTTCAGCAAGGGCAGTTCGTGTCGATCAATATTGTTTTTTACTAGTATATATGCTCATGCACGGGGAGATGGAAGAAAAGGCCCAGCTGCAACGAAATTTTATTGCACTGGATGTGAGTAGAGAACTGGGAGGCCCCTATACAAACGGATCGACGAACACCGGAGGGCGCTGGGAAATCCACCTTCTTACCCTAATAGCAGTTTCTCCCGGCATCGCATAAAGGAGCACGCTCACCAGGAACCCCCCTCTTTAATGGTCAAAGTACTACACCGCTCGGTAGAGAGCGCAATGGAAAGGAAAATATTGGAGGCCTTGGAAATAAAACGTAACACCCCAAATAAACAATAGGGAGGAACTACGTGACATTATGCAAGTCATAATGTGATCGCGTCACATCCCACTATTTAAGGGTGTGGTTAGGGTGGGTTGGCTAATTTGCCAGGATATTTCGGTAAGTGCCTCGTATGGGGAGTCCGTGCGGGTTACATCTCTGTAGGCTTATATTCTGCATAAAACAAGCTAAATAATTTCAGGCCTGAAGAAGGTGCTACGCACCGAAATATCGCAGATAAGATATTTTAAAAAACTTTTGAGACTTTTGCTGTCTTTTGAGTTTTTTGGAATAAACTTTTGGAGTTTCACATTGTTAATACACATTCAGATGAGTAATGAGACTCCGGGACAGCACCATACTCCGATAACAAGAGTGACATAATAATAACAACATAGCAACAGTATAATCCTACTATATATAATCCGCTAAGTTTGTCTGTTGGTGTGTGTGTCTGTGTGAATGTTGTCTGTATGTGTGTTTGACCGGAAATTCATAACTTCCTTCAAAACAGCGATAATGCGCTCAAACTGATAGATGATGTAGGAGGTCGGGCAGGAACATTATTGGTGGGTGGCAGGAAGCGATAGCAGTTGATAAGATACCATAAGGGGCCGTATAAAGGCGAAGTCAGCAAATTCATAACGCGCGTCACAGCAAGACTAGAGCGTTGGTTCCAAGAAGTAAGATAGGAGGCAGGATGGGAACATTATTGGTGGGTGGCAGGAAGTGATAAGAGCTGATAAGATACCACAAGGGGCCTTAGAAAAGAGTGAGCTACCTAATTCATAACACCGGCCACAGCAGCGATGGGACGTTGATTTCAAGAAGTTAGATAGGGGGCAGGATGGGAACATTATTGGTGGGTGACAGGAAGTGATAACAGCTGATAAGATACCATAAGGAGCCTCAAAAGAGTGAGTTACCTAATTCATAACACCGGCCACAGCAGCGATGGGACGTTAGATAGGGGGCAGGATGGGAACATTATTGGTGGGTGACAGGAAGTGATAACAGCTGATAAGATACCACAAGGGGCCTTAAAAAGGAAGGGTCACCAGCTCCATAGCGCGGACCACAGCGACGACGGGATGTGGGTTCCAAGAAGTTAGATAGGGGGCAGGATGGGAACATTATTGGTGGGTGGCAGGACGTGATAACAGCTGATAAGCTGTAAGCTGTTATCACGTCCTGCCACCCACCAACTGATAAACTTCAGCACCGGTGCCCAAGGAACAATGGTTAGAGGCTTCGTGAGTCAAGTATTCTATCCCTTAGCGATATGGTTACGACCGCTAAGCTCTCGAGTTTCGACGAAAATTAAAAGCCCTGGAAGCTGCTCAACGGAAGTACTAGGATGTGAGAAATGTGAGGATATATCACCATGATATCGATGTTATTACCATCAAAAGTCTTTCAACCGCTAAGCTGTCCTATTTCCAACGGATGGTGAGTGTTTCTTAGAAATGTGATAAGCACCAGACATTAGCAAACGTTCATTAAATAGGAGAATCATAATGAAATAGGCCGTATTCTAAAAAATTGTAATCGGGCGAAGTGTTCGGGGTCAATACAGGAATCCTGTCAGCGCAGTACCATTACCATAGGTTCAACCATACGCGCAGTAGTGCGCGTCAGCCAAGCTTGTAATAGCATATTGTATCTACAGGCCACTCCTCTGGGAGCCAGGCTCCGATGGCTTCATTCACTTCATCTTCTTGTGTCTTTTCTGCTTCATGTAAGGTGCTTGTCGGTTTCTTTCTTCCTTCGCGTCGCGAATATACATCACGTGCGGCTTCAAAATCTTGGCTTTCTTCTTCTGCGGCTCGTCCTTGGTCGTCGTGTCGTGGCTGGTCGTTGCATCGTCGGCGGCGGCGTCTCGTTTGTTCTTCTTAGCGGCAAAAAAGATCGGCAGCGACAGCGTGCTCATGGCAAATTTCCGCACCTGGTTGAGGAACACGGTTATCTGCCATGGGTGGAACCTGTCGTCACCTCGTCTTGGGCTCACCCCCAGGCTCGTGGCGGGGTGTCCGAGGGATACCATCTGGTCGATCGTTCCATACGCATCAACCACCCTTGCGTCGAAACCGCGGGCGGGTCCAGTGAGCACCTCCACAACCTCGGCACAAAGCCTCTTGACTGCGTGCCACATCTCGCATCGTCGCTCCTCGTATGGTGGAGGGTACATGTCTAGCGTTCCTCCGCACTGCAGATGACGCTCCAGTGCATGCATCAGGTGATTGAGGTGAACGGTTGCTGGCATTTCGTTTGGCCAGACTATCGTCGTCTGCGACGACGATCCCACTCTCTACATCCTCTCTCCACGTCTGGGGCTAAAACCTCTCTCAGCGTGGGTCCTTGAGTACTATCATGAGGCGGACTCATGATATGAACAGTCCAAGCAGTTGGCCATATTCCATACACTAGACTAGCTTCCACACCTCCAGTCAACGTCCCAAGCAAGACGTCCATTTGCTCACATATCATCCTATCCGTCGCAATCGAGACGTAGGTTCCCATTTATATGTAATAAACATATTGTAATTACTATTATTGTCGTTTTCGCAGCTTTTCCTCCGAAGCATACTTATAATTCCACTGATCGTTCGGCCAGACTAACGCGATAGCCGCGGAGATCCAGCGTGCATTCAGCTGCGAAATACACCTCAATGCTCACTTTGTCGTCTTCCTCGAGATCCTTCTCCGCTCGGATGAACGAAAGCGGTAGAGCAACAATCGTCGGATTAGCAGGCGAGTCGTCGTAATCCTTCGTAATCTGATCCAGACGTTCGAGTGCCTGTGCGTAGTACGAGTCTATGTGATATCCTGGGAACGCCGGGAACAACGGCGGATGGACTATGCGCTTCCCTTGGGCGTTCCTGAGCGCTGTTTTGAACGCATAAAAGCTAGATCGATGAGCGGCAATCGCAGGAGATGTTTCGATTCCTTGGCAACTAGTTCTTCTCCCTTGCGTCGATCGCCCCAGAACGGATCGAGCACGATTGATGCGACGTTTGCGAGCTCGAACATGTTATTGACTGGCTTCGATCTTGCTAGATCTGAGCGCAAACTAGGTAGAGCCGTCTGTGCCTGTGGATTCTTTTACATTTCTTATGTCTGCCCCTTTTTCTTCTTTGCTTAGCAGTTTGAACTGGTTCATCATCAACACCTGTTGGCAACCTTTTCAGGAGATCAAACTGCACTTTTAGCGGCTCGGCATTACCGGCAATAGGGGTGATTAACGCACTGTTATCACTGAGCCCTATAACTCTGAAGGGGCCATTCCACTCATTTGCGAGTTTTGGATGGGTAGACGTGCCCTTTTCCATGGGGATGCGCATATACGCTCTCTCCCCTACGGCAAAAGGTCGTTCGACTACCTTTTTAGTCTCGTCG